CTGCCCCAGTTTCACTTTCGGGGGAAATTGGATTTTGTTTTCGTATGACTGAACCCCAGAGAGAGGCTGCCTACGTATCCTTTCGGAATCAAGTCGAACGTAGTTCAGGGAAACATTTTGTTTTGTTTTTTTTTTACAAACGTTTTCAAGTTCCAAAGAGGGTAATGAAGGAAAGGTAACCGGCTCAAAGGGTTAGCAAAGGATTGGAGTGTTTTGGGTAGCGAGAATGAAAGCCTTCATCATCCCAATCGGATAATCTTGTTGCTGCAGTAAGACTAGACATAATACCTTTTGACTGCATCTGCATTTACAACTGTTTCGGGGTCATTTCCTTCAATGTCTCCCAAGTACAATGCCCCTTTTGGCAACAATTTTCTTGTATTGTATGGACCTTTCCAGTTTGGAGCAAACTTTCCTTTTGCTTCCTGGTGGTGAGGGAGAATACGCCTCAAAATGAGTTGCCCCACTTCAAAGTTCCTAGGCCGCACTTTCTTGTTGTAGGCACGGGCCATTCTTTGTTGATATAACTGCCCGTGGGAGACTGCGGCCATTCGCTTTTCATCAATCAGGGTTAACTGTTCTAGACGGGTTTTAACCGACTCACTATCCTCAATTTCAGCTTCAACAATGATTCGGAGGGAAGAGATTTCAACTTCTGCGGGTATTACAGCTTTAGTGCCATAAACCAAAAGATAGGGTGTTGCTCCAATCGATGTGTGCACAGTTGTGCGATATCCCATCAATGCAAACGGCAACTTCTCATGCCATTGTCTAGAATTCTGGATCATCTTTCTATGAATCTTCTTGATGTTCTTGTTTGTTGCTTCAACGGCACCATTAGCTTTGGGCCGATAAGGGGTAGAGTTCCGATGCGTGATCTTAAATTGTTCGCATATGTCCCTCATCAAATGACTATTCAAGTTTGCAGCATTGTCCGTAATGATAGGTGTAGGAATACCAAAACGGCAAATGATGTTGGAGTGCACGAAGTCTACCACAGCTTTCTTTGTGACAGCTTTGAGAGTGATTTCTTCAACCCATTTTGTGAAGTAGTCGATAGCAACTAGTATAAATCTGTGCCCATTTGAAGCTTTTGGCTCGATTGGCCCAATGACATCCATTCCCCAAGCAACGAACAACCATGGTGCCGACATAGGATGCAGTTCTGTGGGAGGTGCATGAATCAGGTCACCGTGTACCTGACACTGATGACATTTTTGAACGAAGCTGAAACAGTCCTTTTCCATGGTGATCCAGTAATACCCTGCTCGAAGGATTTTCTTTGCAAGGACGTGTCCATTCATATGAGGCCCACATACTCCTGCGTGTACTTCATTCATGATTCTTCCAGCCTCTTGGGCATCCACACATCGCAAAAGGTTCAAATCTAGAGTTCTTGTACAAAACTTCTTCGCTCAAGAAGAAACCTCCGGCTAGCCTTCATGTCCTCTTTTGATCTCCATTGGCTTGTTCCGGATATTCCTTTGTTTTCAGAAACATCTTGATATCATGGTACCATGGCTGTACATTTGGCTCAAACTCAACTGTGTTGCAACAACCATGCCTTTCTTGGATTTGAATTTCCAGCGGGTCAATGTGGAGATTGCCTGGATACGGCAACATTGAGGCCAAGGTAGCGAGTGCATCGGCTAACTCATTATGAAACCGAGGGACGTACCTGAACTCAACGGATTTGAACAGTTTGCTAAGATCTTCCACATGTTGCCTGTATGGTATAAGCTTGACATCCCGAGTTTCCCATTATCCCTGAGCCTATCGGATAATTAGATCCGAATCTCCCATAATTACCAATTCTTTCACATCTTGATCAATTGCCATATTCATGCCCATAAATGCAGGCTTCATACTCGGCAGTGTTGTTTGTGCAGAAAAACCGAAGCTGAGCTGTGGCCGGATAGTGCTGACCAGTGGGCGAGATCAAAATTGCCCCAATCCCGACACCTTTTGCGTTCACCGCTCCATCGAAGAACATTTTCCAAGCATTGGCGTCTTCCAAAATTACCTCAACAAAGCTTACTTCTTCGTTTGAAAAGTAGGTACTCAATGGCTGATATTCATCATCAACAGGGTTTTCAGCCAGGTGATCTGCTAGAGCTTGAGCTTTTATTGCCGTGCGAGTGACATAGACTATGTCGAACTCAGTGAGCAGGATTTGCAATTTTGGCAACCTTCCCGTGGGCATCGGCTTCTGGAATATGTACTTTAAAGGATCCAACCTGGTGATGAGGTAGGTGGTGTAGGCCAACAGATAATGCCTAAGCTTTTGAGCGACCCAAGTTAGGGCGCAGCAAGTCCTTTCCAACAGGGTGTATTTGCCTTCATAGCTTGTGAACTTTTTGCTCAAATAGTGGATTGCCTGCTCTTTCTTCCCGGTCACATCATGTTTCCCGAGGACACAGCCAAAAGAGTTCTCCAAGACTTTCAGGTACAAAAACAAAGGCCTCCTAGGTTCGGGTGGGACCAAGATTGGCGGATTTGACAGATATTCTTTGATCTTGTCAAAAGCTTCTTGACACTCGTCTGTCCATTTGATCGCTGCATCTTTCTTCAACAGCTTAAATATGGGCTCACATGTGGAAGTCAACTAGCAATGAATCGACTGATGTAATTCAACCTTCCCAACAAGCTCATAACTTCTTTCTTGGTTCTTGGAGGAGGTAAATCCCGAATAGACTTTATCTTTGTCGGATCTAGCTCAACGCCCCTCCGACTGACTATGAATCCCAAAATCTTCCCATACGGGACTCCAAATGCACATCTAGCTGGGTTTAGCTTCAAATCATACTTGCGCAGACGCTCAAAGAACTTCCTCAGGTCTCGAACATGGTCATCTTGTGTTTTGGACTTAATGATCACATCGTCCACATATACCTCGATCTCTTGGTGCATCATGTCATGAAAGATGGTAGTCATAGCTCTCATGTACGTTGCCCCGGCATTCTTCAAACCAAAAGGCATGAACCTTTTACAATAGGTGCCCCAGGGTGTGGTGAAGGCTGTCTTTTTTGCATCTTCTTCATCCATCAAGACCTGATGATATCCAGCATAACAATCCACAAAAGACTGTATCTTATGTTTGGCACAGTTGTCAACGAGGATGTGAATATTTGGCAGAGGAAAGTTTTCCTTGGGACTTGCTTTGTTCAGATCCCGATAGTCAACACACACTCGGTTTTTCCCGTCTTTCTTTGGCACTGGGACCACATTAGCCAACCAGGTGGTGTATCGAACCACCGGGATCACACCTGCTTTCAATTGTTTAGTGACCTCTTCTTTGATTTTATCAGTAATATCAGTTTTGAATTTCCTCTGTTTTTGCTGGATAGGGGGATAATCGGGGTAAGGTGGCAATTTGTGGACCACCAAATCGGCACTTAATCCTGGCATGTCATCGTAGGACCAAGCAAACACATCTTTATATTCGAACAAAAGTTGGATCAATGCATCCCTGGTTCTTTCATCCGTGTGAATGCTTATTATGGTTTCTTGGACCTCTTCAGAACTACCCAAATTAAACGGCTCAGTTTCATTTAAGTTTGGCTTAGGTTTATTCTCGAATTGTTCCAATTCTCGTTTTATTTCCCTAAAAGCCTCTTCTTCATCATATTCCGGTTCTTGATTCATTATTTCACAATTAGACAGCGTGTTTGGATCTGGGCATGAAGTCCGCAAGCATGTCATGTTATTTAATGCCGCATTATTAGAACTGAAAGAAGAATAAGAAAAAGTAACAAAAATTAGAAAGAATAAAGAGAGATGAACGATGAAATATTGATTTCATTTCATTGAATTTTGAAGATAACAGGATTTACATTGGAATTTTAAAGACACTAAACTAAAGGAAACATACTAGTTACACCCTGGAATAACTCGTGATGTAGAAAAGGTGGCAAGACTGGACTACCGGAATTCCCGCCTAACTGGGAATGGAGTAGCCTTCCAATTTTGCAACTTGGCGTTTGGCCCCATATACAGCACCTCAGCGGTGCTTGAGCCTTCTCCCGGCTGAACCATGTGGGTTTCATATAGCATCTGCCTCATAGCTCCACATATTTCTTCAATCTCCTCGGCCGTGAAGGCCTCATCTTCCTCCTCTATGTACTTGGGCTTGACGAATGTTTCAAACAGATGCGGGATTGGCTGAGGCAAGACCCAACCATTGTTCTTCCGCTCATTTGCCCATGTTTCATCAGCTGGCGTGGCCTGAAAGCCTACACCAAAGAACTTCTCGCTAGCAGCCAGAGTAATAGGTTCTGTGATTCCTTGCAACGATGTCCCGAGCCCCTTCCCGGGTTTATATCCATGCCTGATCATTTCCTTGGCAACCATAATTGACGCATTTGAGATAAAGGGTTGAGGACATGGGCTTCCTTCTTTACATTGGTCTGCGACCACGACCTTGAAGGCTTGATAGACTATATGTTCACTACCTTCCCTTGCTTTAAGACATGGGACTGACGGGTCCCGATAAATAGATTGCTCATCATCTCCATGAACCACAATTTCCTGATATTCGTGTTCAAACTTCACCATCTGGGGAGAGTGGAAGGTACGGCCCCCGCCGCATGAATCCAGGGTCTTCCCAGGAGGAAATTGTAAGAAGTGTCCATGTCTAGGACCTGGAAGGTCACCTCGAAATCCACAGGACCAATGGTCAATATCAAATCGATCTCGCCTATGGTGTCCCTCTTGATTCCATCAAAGGCACGCATGCAGTCATTGTTAGGTCTGATCCTCTCAGTTCCAATCTCCATTCTTTGCAAAGTTGAGAGAGGGAAAATATCAACTCCGGATCCGCCATCCAACATGACCCTTTTCACATAGTACCCCTCATATTTTACTGTCAGATGAAGGGCTTTGTTGTGGACGGCCCCTTCCGGGGCAAATCATTCTTGCTAAAGGAAATCTGATTAACTGCGAAGAATCTTTCCGCCATCCTCTGCAGTTGTTTAACTGTGGTTTCAACCGAAACATAGGCTTCATTGAGGGTTTTTATCAACACCTTCTGATGCTCGATTGAGCTCACCAATAGAGCCAGGAGTGAGACCTGTGGGAGATTTTCGGAGTTGGTCTATAACCTCATAGTCTGCAGTTTTCATTTTACGAAAAAATTCTTCGGTCTCCTCAGCACTAACATGCTTCTTTAGTGGGAAGCGCTTCTGCTTGGCATTGTTCACCTCTTCCAGATTGAGGTACCTCCCGGATGGGTTGGTTTCATTTACTTCCCCTGCGATTTCTTTCCCTTTGTAGGTCACAATTGTTCTGTTGTAGCTCCAAGGGACTGCGGTGGGGTCTTTCATAGGCCTTTGCGGTGCACGGCTAATGATCACGGGCTCGCTCAACTTGGGTGGAATCACTGGTCCCCGTGCTACATAAGTTCCTTTTGGTACATACATCTTGGGTCCCTTGTTGTGCTCGAACCTCTTAGGAGGGCTCAATGTTATTTGTTCTTTCCTGTGACACCGGGGAACATAAAGAATGGCATCTTTTGAGGGTACTGCCCCAGTCTTGGTTTCTACTTCCTTTTCTGCACTTTGAGGGGTGGGTTCATTCTTCTTCTTCCCCTTATCTTGCTTTGCAGCAGCCTTCGGTTTCTTCTCAACGTCAGTGATTGGAATGATGGCTTTCAAAGCAGGATCAAACTCCTTATCTTCGCAAATCATTCCAAAGACCGGCCCGTTGTTGTGAGCCGGTAATGGGTTGTTAGTCACATTAGAAACTTCCTCATCCTTCAGCACTATCCGTTTTTGCTCTATGAGGTTTTCAACAGCCCTTTTCAGAGTCCAACAATCTTTAGTGTCATGTCTTTCTGCCCCAGAATGATAGGCACATCGAGTACCGGGTTGGTAAGAAGGCGACTCTGGGTTCTGCCTGGTTTGGGGTACGGGTTACAACAAACCCATTTGGACAAGTTTAGGGAAAAGGCTAGAATATGACTCTCCAATAGGCATGAAGTTTGCTATCCTGGGTGGCTCCCGGGCATGGGCATTGTAGGGGAAGTTATTTTGTGGAGGTTGGGGATTATACTGGACTTGGCGAGGAGGTTGATATCTAGGAAATGGAGATCGGTTTTGGTTGAACTGTTGTTGTGGCCTAGCGTATGGCTGGGCGTTCATTATTGCGTATGACTGGGGGGCCATAGCATAGGCCACATCCTGATGAGGATAATAATGTTGTGGGGTTCTTGCAGGGAAGTAAGGTCTGGGTGGACGAGGGTTTCTCGGACCTGAAGTCGCCATTGCCACTTCTTCCTTTTTCTTTCTGTTCGCTACTCCTCCAGACCTACTTTGAATTGCTTGGGACGTAGCTCTTATGGCGAATTGACTCAATATGCACCCCGTTTTTAGACCGTTCTCTACCATCTCACCAATCTTGATGGCCTCAGCGAACGCTTTCCCCATTACCGACATCATATTCTGAAAGTAATCGGCCTCTTGGGCTTATAGAAAAACACTCACCATTTCTGTTTCATCCATCGGGGGCTTGACCCTGGCCGCTTGTTCGTGCCATTTAACAGCGTATTCCCGGAAACTTTCTGAGGACTTCTTCTTGAGGTTCGACAGAGAATTCCTGTCAGGAGCTATGTCTACGTTATACTGAAATTGCCGGACAAAATCCCGAGCCAGATCATCCCAAATATACCAACGAGATATATCCTGATCCATGTACCACTCAGAAGAAATGCCCACTAGACTCTCTCCAAAATTGGCCATGAGAAGCTCTCTTTCCGCCGCCCTCGCAATTGATTGCAGTACCTCTTGAGATGGGCTATGTGATCCCCGTGCCCGTCACTACTTTCTAAACTTCGGGGTCCTTGGTAAA